AAAAGTCTTGTATCATCATTCTTCATTCCTTGACCGTGCAGAACCGTGAGAAACATACAAAGAGAAATCACTAAACTGCATTTTGTTCCCATCTACTCATTCATCTTAAAACCGTGGAAACCTCTTGGGGAATTTCCAAGCCTCTAACACAATTTCTCTCCTCTATTTCCTTGGTTGTGCGTCCTTATTCTAAGAGGTAATGTGTGCCTCTGTTTCGCTGCTCATTCTCTTGGTTGAAGAAGACGTTTCATTGTATGTAAATAATAACATAAGCTAATTTTCCTCTTCTTATTCTTGCGCGCAGTCACCATCTAGACGTGTGGAGCTGCTGTTTCGTGGAGCTTGGAAGGCAGTGGTGTTATTCCTTATTCCATTCGGCTTTCTTGTGCTTGCAAGAGGTAGGCACAAAACCCCTTCTTCCTTTCTCTATTCAAAAAGTGAGGCATGCTTAGGAAGTGGTACTCTTAGCTATTTTATATTTTAGATTATGCCATGTATGTCGTTGGATCATAGTGAAAGCGTAATGAAAAATAATCTTGGTAATGATCTTAAAATTTAATGGTGGGGCTGTTTGGTGATAGCTTGGTGTTCCTCTAAATTTTTATGAAGCAAAATAAATTGGACAACATGCCTAGGTCCCTTGTAGCGCTCCATACAGGGATTAGTGGAGTTTTGAAATAAGTTATTCATGATGTTTGGTCTTGATAAAACCGATTCTGACTTGGTAAATTTTATTGTGAACTAAGTCTTATTTAAATTAAAATACAGTATGAGTTTAGGTCCTCCTTCACGCCCCTTTAGTTTTGTTGAGTTATAAATTGGAATGAATTGTCATGAGCCCCTATATGTTAAACCGATTCTGTTTTAGTAAGCCTTGATGTGTTATATGTCCTTTTTTTAATTAGCTAGACAACATGCTACTTAGGCCCTCTTTTGCGCACTTTATGAGTAGAGAAGTAGGAATTTTGGTGAATAAAACCTTGAGTAACTTTTGTGCCTAAACCGATTCTGCCATGTCTGGGAACCTTAAGCAAACCCCGCTATTTAACGTTGATTAAGAGTAATTGAAGTCAGAATATTTTTGGGAAGGGACTCTAATGGCCGAATGGGGGCAGAAGCATTTTAAGCAAGGAAAACTTGTCGATAGCATTATGGGAATAACTGGAAACGTTTCTGATTGGATTTCATTTGTATATATATTTAGGTGCGCATATTTTTGGTGAGACTTTGGATCATTTTAGCTGCTGCCTGGTAAAATAATTGTGACTTGTGAGGTAAGTGTATGGTGACATTACCCCTTGTGACTGCTGGCTGGAGCACGAATTGTGAACGTTGCTCTCATGTTCGGATTTTCGGTTATGAATATGGGTTCTGTTTTGGACTTGAAATGCTGTTTATTCTGTTTTGATTATTCTGCATCATCTTGATATTGAATCCATAAGCTATATGAAATCTTGAATATTATTTAGTCATGCATGTACATTCATAATTTTATCTGTGTGTTGCGTGTGACCCATGACATATCATACATGCATAATTTCATGTTTATAACTGAAAATGTTTTCGAAAACTATGCATACGTTTGAGCACGCATCATGTAGGCATCCTTACGGTACCAGGGTATGGGACACTTGGCTTCAGTCCGCTTAGGTTGCAGTTGGAACCCTCTTGAGGAGCCATTAAAGGACCTTCACTGTACTTGTTAGTACGGGCACGACGATGCTGTAAACGTACACTTTGGCGTTATATACGCAATATGATAATGTTTAGTATCCGTCGGATTTAACTTGATGATGCGACTGCTTTGTAATTCTGTATCTAGTTAGTACCGTTGCATTATTGGTTTTGTTATCACACTACTGGGATTTTTCTCACCCCTCTGGGGCTGCTATTTTTATAAAATGGCAGGAGGACGGAAGAGCATATGAAGACATGATTATATGGATATTTGATGTTATGTGCTGCTGTTTGGACTTTTGTTGTTGCTGTTTATTTGATGGATGACTGTATTAATTTAAGAAGTTTGGATTACTGATGGATTATGATTTTATTACTGTTTTTAAGACTTTTATGATTAGTTGGTATTTTGGGAACAATTTCTAGAAACGTTTTGAGAAAATAATTTCTGACGTTTTATTATATGCTGAATTTCAAACAGCCTTGCGAGCACTTTGCGAGTTACGTTACAAAGGGCAAACGAACTCCGATTTACTATTATTTTATATGCACGCGAAGCCCAGACGTGCTCTTTCCAAATCATATGGAATATTTTTTTGAATCGTTGGAACTGATTTTATACAAATTTTTAAAGACAGCAACGTCAGCCAGGAAAATAATATTTTCAGCAACTTAAGAAATTTTGAAAGCGTACTCTGATTTTTGTAAGTAACCTGGTTTCAACTATAAGTTTTAATTAGTAACATCAAAATGATTTTTCAGTAGTTAAAGATAGGGGTGTTCGCGGTCTGGATTGGATCGGTTTTGGAGGCAAAAATAATCAGATCCAATCCCTTCGGTTTGATCTTTTTCAAATCCGATCCGATCCAATCCAATTTTTTTCGGTTTGGATTTTTTTTCAAATCCGATCCGATCCAATCCAATTTTTTTCGGTTTGGATTGGATCGGTTTTCGGTTTTTAAAAATCCTAAAATTTGTTTCATTATTATTGTGCAAATAACATCTTTTGTATATATTGGCTTTGTAATTTTTTTTTAAATACAAAATCATCGGTAAACGATAATATATATATATTTTTTACAATGAAATACGAAGCTCTACATAAAAGAAATTTTGTTGATGAGATATGACTAGATTTTTTTTTTGAGTTTAGTTGATGGGTTAATGGATCTTGGATTTAGAAATTTTTGGGCTATAATTGGAGAAAGACCCAAGTAGGTAGAGGAAAATTAATATATTGGATCGGTTTTCATCTACCAATCCGAAATCCGATCCAATCCAATTAAAATTTGCGAATTTTTTTCAGTTTTCGATTTTTCGGTTTTCGGTTTATTCGGTTATCGGTTTTTCGGTTCGGTCACCGCGGTTTGAATCGGTTTGGATCGGTTGATGAACACCCCTAGTTAAAGAGACGTCAAAAACTCTAATTCCGCTTAGCAAACAAACTCTCTTGGATGCATACAAGGGAGGGTGTTACAAAAAGATAATACACTGACTGCAAATGAAGGGTTACAGTTCACCGAGATTATTTTCCTGTGCAGTTATTACAGCAACCGAAGCTGCCAAAAACTCTATTTCGATGGTTGTTAAAAATTTAATAGTCTGTTTTGAAAGACCATAACTCTTTCAATTCTTACCCAAATACAGCAAATGAGATGTCATTTTAAAGATCAAAATGTCTAATTTTTTGTATTAAAATATCAAGACTGGAAGAGCTATGATCAATATGCAGTTTATATTAGACTATAAGCTGCCAGAGTTATATTCATGTTATTTGTTGCATTATCTTAATAATTGTTGTGCTGACTATTTGGGCTATTGCTCATATGATAAGTTGTTGTTGTTGTGCTTAATACAATGAAAAAGATAATACACCAACTGCAGACGAAGGGTTATAATCATCCACCAAGATTATTTTCCTATGTAGTTATTACATCATGTGTTTTCTTTCATTCTTTCTTTCAAGTTGTAAAGCACATGTTATTTTCATTCATTCATTCTAGTTGAAAAAGATAATTCTCCTTTTTAGCTGTAGGGTTTTCATTTGGATTACTGTTCAGACATTTTTGTCACCATATAAAATGGCTTATAGCCTTCTCATAACAATGAATCCTTTCCATTCTCTTAATAAAATATATGATACCGAAAAAAAGTGTTATCTTTCTCCCGCAAAATGAACCCTGGTCATGTAATGTTTTAAACTGACTAGAACCTCTGCCACTATGCTAAACAAACCCAGCCATCGTTTTAGTTACAGAATCTTCTCATATTATAATTTATAAAGCAATACCGAGAACCTTTGAACATCTTTCTTTGTTGCAATTAATAAACCAAAAAAGTACAAAATAAAATAAAATTCCAAAGATAAAATAAATATCTGTAAGTTTGTAATGCAGGAATATCCGAAAAGTTTCCACATTACTGTACATTAGAGCTTTTAGTTCGACAGTTTCAAAGGGTCCAGACTTCAAGGGCACAAAAGAAGCAATATAACTCTAATCTATATATGCGATGGTCAAATGACTAAGGGAAGCATTTTATAATTGGAATTTAAGAATAAACAGAATATGGTTTTCAAAGGAGGTCAAGAAGCTATTCAGTATTCAGAAACCTAAATGTACAAGTAGAAAGCAGAAATAAAAGACAGAAGGGCAAATGCATAGAAGCTAATGTTTCCCTCGGTATCATAAAGGAATGATTTATAAAGAATCTTACAAGAGTAGAAATCCATAAATTTATAGTGCTAATCCTTAGACAAAGGAAGAATATCTATGCTGAACATTAGGAAATGTAAATGCAAAAGAGGATGATTCATTCAATTGAAACTGGCATACCCACAAAGAACAGCATGACAAACCAAGATCACAACATGACGACAAATTGACAATATTTGTATTTGATATTCTGCTAAAATGCTGAAGAATATATCATCTGTTTCCTCTTTCCTCAGAGATAACAGCATATATAATTCTAATCCTGTCTATTAATTAAAATTTTAAAATGTTATATGATAATGAGCCCCTGGTTTGACTCATGTTTTGAGAATAAACAAGAGATTGATTTGCATGGTCAACATCTATCTGTGTGATCAGATGAACAATAATGGTGATCAGTGCAAGCAATTCAGAATCTTCTTTGGCATACACACATTGAGTAAAGAGAACCCAATGCAAGTTTACGTCACATTTGTATAATAAAATCTTAACAAAAGTATTGTAGATTAACTAATTCATACTTCAACTGCGAAAGTAAATAAACATATTAAATTAGTTTAACCAGAAGAGATATAAGACCTCGCCAGAAATTAATAAAGCACAAAGACAGAATTAAACCCATACAGACAGTTGAGTTAGAAGTATTAATTAACAAAAAATGCACAAAAAACGGCAACGAAGATACAAGTCATTCTTTCCAGCTATAGGAAGCTCGGTCAACAACTAAATAGTCTCCTCTAATATCCTTTACAACTCGAAGGTGATCATCGAGGTACACAGTCTCAAACCTGCATAAACAAGATGCAATCACAGCATTACAAAAATTAAACTTCCAAAGGTCCCTTACCCCACCAAATCATAAGAATCTCACTTTGAACCCACCAAATTTCATGAAATTTCATATTATAACATCACAATTAAGTTTAGAGCAACTTTTACTTATTTGCAAATTGGCCCATAAACTTTCCCACAATTACACTTAGGTCCCTAAACTTTTTCATAATTACTTTTTTATCCCTAATTGACTTGATTGGCAAGAATTGTATTCTCATTCATATTTTCACATTAATCCCATGATTAACTCATCATTCCTTGTCACATATTCCATGTACAAAGCTTAATAGTGTGGGTTATTATAGCATAGCCAACACATGAGCCTCCTCAAACTCCTTTGATAGTGCATCTGTCACCATGTAGTTCTTTCCTTGCTTGTACTCGATAGAAAAAGAGTATTCCATCAGCTTGTACATGAATTTTTGCTGCTCCACCATCTGAATTGTTGGAAATAGTAAATCTTTTAAACTACGCTGGTCTGTGCAGATTATAAAATGAGTACCGAGGAGGTATTGTCTCCAACATTACACTGCCTTTCTGATTGCAAATAGTTCATGCATATATGTTGACGCTTTCGCCATTCTCGGTCCAAGTCTCCTACTAAAGAATGAAATGGGTTTGTCAGCTTGAATTAAAACTGCACCAATACCTGAATTTAATGCGTCTGTCTCTATTATGAAAGGCTTCGTGAAGTTTGGCAATGACAACACAGGAGCTTGAGCCATGGTTGCTTTTAGTTTCTCAAATGCCTTAGTTGCTTCCAATGACCACATGAATTTATTACGCTTCAGAAGATCCGTTAGTGGCAAGGCTATTGCAGCATAATGTTGCACAAAATAACGGTAATACCTTGTTAATCCCAAAAAGCCTCTTAATTGCTTTACTATCTTTAGTTTCGGCTAATTCACCATTGCTTCTATCTTCTTAGGATTAGCATATACTCCATCCTTAGCAACCACCTGACCGAGATATTCAATCTATTCTATAGCAAAAGCACATTTCTTTAGTTTCACAAAAATTTTGTACTGATGCAGCCTTTGTAACATAGTTTTTAGGTGTTGAACATGATCTTCTAAGGATTTACTATACACCAATATGTCATCAAAAAAACACTGACAAAACGACGTAAAAATGGCTTCAACAAGTGGTTCATAGTTGCTTGGAATGTGGAATGGTATCACTATATATTCATAGTGGCTTTCATGAGTGCGAAAAGTTGTTTTAGGGATGTCTTCAAGCAACATTCTGATCTGGTGAAACCCAGATCTTAAGTCTAGCTTGGAAAGCAGCCTAGAACCACCAAGTTCAGCCATTAGTTCGTCAATTGTAGGCATTGGGAATCGATCCTTTATTGTCAGCGCATTCAACGGTCAGTAGTCAACATCATTCTCCAGGTATTGTCTGGCTTCTTCACCGACAACACTGGAGAGGAGTAGGGACTGTGACTATATTGAAGTCATCCACGAAACTTGGCCATCCATTCACATAGGGGGTCAAGGTGGCCCCCGTTCCCAAGGGATTCAACCACCCCAACAACGTGGACTTCTTCGACAGAGATGAAGACCCATTGAAGCACCTTGAAGAGTTCCAAGCCACCATGTTTTTCAAGGGAGGAATAGGTGCACTCATGTTTCAAGCTTTCTATTTAACTCTTTAATTGAATGCACTTTGGTGGTTCTCATCCTTCCTTGTGAACACAGTCAACCGGTGTGATGATTTGTCCAAAAAAAATTTCCTGCACTTCACTACCAACAAACCTAGCCAAGGTCCGCTAACACTTTTTCAAGGGTCAAATAGAGATAGGATGAGTCCCATTGAGATTACCTAACCCAGTTCATAAAAGAATCAATACTAGTCAGAGACATGGATCCAATGGTGGAACTTTACTTAGATATGGACAGTTTTCAACTGGCAACGTTCATGCCCTTGGTCAAGCAGGAAGCCCTAACCATGGACGAAACTTGGCCATCCATTCACATAGGGGGTCAAGGTGGCCCCCGTTCCCAAGGGATTCAACCACCCCAACAACGTGGACTTCTTCGACAGAGATGAAGACCCATTGAAGCACCTTGAAGAGTTCCAAGCCACCATGTTTTTCAAGGGAGGAATAGGTGCACTCATGTTTCAAGCTTTCTATTTAACTCTTTAATTGAATGCACTTTGGTGGTTCTCATCCTTCCTTGTGAACACAGTCAACCGGTGTGATGATTTGTCCAAAAAAAATTTCCTGCACTTCACTACCAACAAACCTAGCCAAGGTCCGCTAACACTTTTTCAAGGGTCAAATAGAGATAGGATGAGTCCCATTGAGATTACCTAACCCAGTTCATAAAAGAATCAATACTAGTCAGAGACATGGATCCAATGGTGGAACTTTACTTAGATATGGACAGTTTTCAACTGGCAACGTTCATGCCCTTGGTCAAGCAGGAAGCCCTAACCATGGACGAACTATGTGCTAGGTCCCAAATATTCATCAATCTAAAGGATTTTGAAAGAGACAAAAAGATTCTAAGGAGTACTCAACCAAGACATGGATGCCCCCTTCTTTCGTGAAGTCGAGAGTAAGGAAGGTTGTTCAAGGGGAAGTTCGACGAATACATCCTCTGAACATGAATAAACCAAGTTTCAAGGAGTGAAGAGGCCATTCCCATTGAAAAAGAAAGCATAACAAGATAAGATATGAAAAGACAACAATAATCTCAAACAATGTGATAGAATCCAAATAACAAAAATGGAAAAGAAACAAGAAATGAAAACAGGTATAATATGGATTGAAAAATGAGATATTACAACGAAGCTTGCAACAATGATAGCTTACATAGAGAAAACAAAAAGTGTAGAGAAGAAAAGATAAACCTAGGAGAATTAGAGAGCCCCTGGACTCTACCAATGCCCAAGTCCCGAAATATCCCAGATGCCTTTACAATGATCAGGGTATCTCGGGTGACAAACCTCTTGTATACCCTGGCTATAGGGTTTTCTCCAGTAGCTCAACCTAGAAACAAGAACTGAAACTTATAAACCCCCTGAAGAAGGATCACACGGTCACACTTTAGACAGAGACAACAAACCCCAAGGAGAAGACCCGAGAAAACAAAAAATTCCAAACCCTCCGGCATCAAGCCTTGAAGAAAGGCACCAAATCTCAAACCAAACCATCCAGGATACAGAATTGTACTTGCAACTTAGAACTCTAACTCACCCCGGTCAAAAGGATAAACACACCGAACCATTCAACATTTAGAGAAACAACAATATGAAACCCCTAAGGGGCTGTTTGGTATGGGGATTTTCTTAGAAATCCTAGGAAAGTGGGGTGTGGCAAATTTGTTTTCAACGTTTGGTGTGAGGAAACTGAAAATAATCTCAGGAAGAGCCAGAGATTAGTGAAGAAGGTTTCATAGAGGGAAAAACCCCCTTTAAATAGGGCCAAATGGATAAGCATGGCGTACACGTGTAGCGCCCCACAACTTCGACCATAGGATAACTCAATCGTCAGATAATAAGCGGTTGTGATGAAGGACCCTATGGTAATTACAGGGGGACAAGACACCCCTCACATCGCATTAATGCACCGTGCTTCGTGACATTTGAATGCCTGCAGTTAATTGCAATGATGGAGGCACCCATCATTACTGTCCCTCGAAAACTGAAAAGTCACCTTTCCTGTCAAAGACAGGTGGACGACCGAAGAAGTACCCCGCAAACCACTCATCCCGCCAAGGAGCCAAACGTACAAGACTCCAAATGTTCACCAAATCACTGGGAGACCCCTCATCCCGCCAACGCTAGCCACTCAGATCGCCAGCTAGAGAATATCACCCAAGACCATTTATCTTGGCACCAACCTACGCTTGCTACCAAGCTGGGGGGGCTCCTGTTTCGGATGGCCCAACGACATAATGCCCCAAAGGTTTAAGCCCAAACCCCTTATCCACGTCAGCCCTACCAACCCTCAGCCTCACTGCCCCCGAAATGATGATGCTCCCTAGGTGAGACACCAAAATGTCTCATCTTTACCAGGTGCCATAAGAGGTAACTGCCCTTTGTCACATGCTGACATTGCCAGGCACAGGGGGCGCATCACTGCTACCATAGCAGCGCCTGCCACCCATAGCGAATCACAAGGAGGGTTGACCCTGTTAGTATTTGGGTGTCCTAGAGACAATCTTATGATTAAATAAGGACAGAGATGTAGACCTTTTTAATATTGTCGCAAATAAATAAAAGCACTCTTTATCTTGTTTCATAATTATGTCTCAATATTAATATTAATATATTATGAATAACTTGATAAACCCCGTGGAATAAAATAGGTATCTCTTGAGTATTTGTGATGAGATCACAATCATGAGGATTCAAGAATACCGGATGTTTATTCCTAATTTTATGTTCCTAGTCTAGAGATACTGAGAATGGGGTCAGTAATCTCGGGTAAGACTAGCACGACTTATCTATTTGTATATGGATACAAGGTATAGACCTCATGTGCTACAGATATGGAGATGTCTTAGCTAAAGTCGTGGGTGGACCTATAAGGGTATAGCTCGCACTGAACGGACCCACAAAGAGACTCTATGAGGAACTCTCACAGAGAGTATCATTAGAGTAGTCTCTTTATATTTGGGTATGTCTTTCCTAAGACCAGAAGTTATTACCTAGACTGTGTTCTAGAAGGCATGCTTTGATTGTGCACCTCGTCTGCCTGAAACATGGAGACTCATAGGTATACTGCTGGGCTTGTCCTGAAAGAACACAGGGCTAGGGTGATAAGCTGAAGGAATTCGTCAAATCTCTGTGAGAGATTAGGTTATCTGTAAACCGGAGAAATCGGGATGACATTTACAGGGACTCGGGAATCTATGCATAGTAAAAGAGATCATGAGATGATCTGCCTTTAGAGTCTGTAAATTGAAGATTCCCTATTTCGAATAAAACTTACCCTAAATCGCAGGGGTTGATACGCTTCCTTACCCTAGGTTTTATGGGAAGGTAACCGAGACGAAAGGAAATATATACGGCAACCAAATATGTTTAATAGGACGATCAAATCATTAATCTAACTAGTTCTGGGGCAACAAAGCATTGCTAGTGCTCTGTGTTGTCATTAGATGGGTTTTTGGCTTATTGGGCCCAAGCCCATTTATGTCAGTGGCTAAGTTGGACCTAATGGGTCACACACAAACACCTAATTGTCTAGATGCTCTAGCATTAAAGGTATTGGGCCTAATAATAATTATTAGCCCAAGAAGTTGTTTGGAACTCCACCTAAAGGGGTGGAGGGCGCATGGTTCATTGTAATGGGCTTGGATAGTCCAAGACATTACTAATTAATTTAATTAGTTAAATTAATTATCAAACATTTAAATTTTGAATTTTGGAATTCGAAATTTGAATTTTGAAATTTTGAATTTTGAATTTGAATTTCGAAATTCGAATTTTGGATTTGAAATTTGAAATTTGAATTTTGAAATTTGGATTTTGAATTTGAATTTTGAAATTTGAATTTTGAAATTAAAAATTTGAATTTTGAAAATTGAAAATTTGAATTTTGAACATTTGAATTTGAATATTTGAATGTTTGAATTCAAATATTTGAATTTGAATTTGAATTTGAATTGCCTATGAAAGGTTGTTTCATAACAAAAGGATAAGATGAGATCTTGTTGGAACAAATCACTAGTATCATGAGAGAATCTTTTGGACAAGATCCAAGGCCATATATGGCGCTGATTTGGGTTGTTGGTGAGCAAGATTTGCTCATCAAAATCAGCTCCAGAAGATTCAGTCAGTTGGGAGAAAATCTGAGTGAGTTGATTCAAATTTGAATGCAACTACTCAGATGTATCTGGTCACCTTTTTGGGCTATATGGGGCGCACCATATAGCTGATCTTATGAAGATTTCTGATCAGAATTTTGAATAGGTTTTTGAACCAATTCTCAAGAGAATATTCTAGGAGACTGTTAGCAATTTTTGAAATAAAACAGCTCCACTTCTCTCTCTCCAATCTGGCGCCTAATGATCAGATTTTTAGGAGAAAAATCTGATTGGTATTTTATTTTAAATACTCTCCTCTTATGCACCTAGGTGGTAGTTGTTCCTCCAAGGGTTTTTCTGAAAACCTAGCCTATTCTCTCCTCTCTTCTGCGCCACTTGTGAAGCTTTCACATTGAGAGCTTCACTTTTTCAAACACTTTCACCTAGCCCCCATCTTCACACATAGAGCGCCTAGCAAGCCTCTTTGTGGTGATCATCCGGTGGCTTCACAAGAAGGAGTTCTTGCACCTAGACGAGTGGGTGGTGTGGATCAACGTTAGAGGGTCTGAACCCTTCAGACCGGCTTTGATCATCTGGTGATTTCACGAACAAGGTAACATCATGCTTTCCTAAAGCATGATCTTGATGTGCATGTATATTCCGCAAAGAAAAATTTTGTTTTTCCCTCTTGCATGCATCGGCCTTCAAGGCCATTTCGAACTTTCAGACCCCCTCCTCACCAACCCATACAAGATCAACATTACCTTCCCCTATAAATACCCCTCTCCATACACAAGAAGAGGTATTTTAGATATCGTTATTCTGCCCATTTATATCGAGTCACATATACACACACTTGAACCCATTGTTATCTGTTTGCATCATACTTGGAATAGTACCTCCTAGCTTGGTCTTTACCTTTGCTAAATGTGTCACCCATACAGTGACTCCATCTCTGAAGGGAACATAGTGAGCTTATAAATCCCAACGGTACATCTACATTTTCAACTCTTCAATTTAGTTTCATCCCAAACGAGCAAAGACTTGGCCACTGGCCAGCAAGCTATGATACCATTGGGAATACAAAACAGAAACATTGCTAAATCACTATACTAAATTTCACTTAAACTGCATTGTGAACATAAAGTACTTACCAACCCTGTCCAAACGGTGGCAACGGTATTTCCCAGTTCTTCCCACGTAATACTGCACTAGTAAATCTAAAACAACGAATATCAGTCTTCATAGGTAGTATACATATTTCTCGAATAAAAAATAAAAATAAATTAATAACAATGCCACAAAAGGAACATTTATATTTGTAATTGTTCACCTGAAAAACGTTGAAGATCTAAACCTCCTATAATAGACAAACTCTTTGAACAACTTGACAGTGCAGGAGTGGATGATATCACAATCAAAGTCGAGAATTTGTATTTCAAAGTAAAAAACTTCAGTTTAATAACTTCAATGATGACAGATAGTGTTACACCGAAATTTAATTAAAATTACACAAAAAGAACATTTATTTTTTAGTTTTCAATGGTTCACCTGAAATTCACTCTCTGCGGCGACACAATCTGAATACTTGATCGAACAAAGAAAACCCCATCCGGAGGAAACGTGATCACGTTATTGAGGGTACTTTTCCGAACATCTATGACCTGCAATACATCCCCGGCACTAGTGCCAAACAAGTGAGCCTTCCCAACGATGAAGAGCTGTTCCTTCTCCGTTGTCCAGAGCAGCCGCCACGTGCCGGAGAGGGAATCGCCGGTGGTGACCGAGCCAGCTCCCAGGGCGGCCATCGCATCGATGGCTTCGACGATCGAGGCTCGTTTTGCCGGGTCGTTCTGGGTCCTGAGGCCGCGGTCCTGGTCAGAGATGAGGGCGAGGAGATTCTCCCTGGCATATCGGGATTGTGCTGTGACGGAGGAGCAGATGAACCTCGGGACCGGGTTACAGTTGCGTGGGTTGGGGAATTTAGTGCTAAGGTTTTTTTGAGACTTGAAGGGGTTGGGAAGAAAGAGGGTTGTGCTGGTGGCCATGACCGTGGGTGGTGCTAATGATTTTCCGTCTCATGGTGTTAAAGTTTGTGGAGTATGGAACTCGAAAGAATTGGCGGCTGAGAACGGAAATCTGACACAGAAATAGATATTTAGGGAACCACGTGGTATGCACGTGTATATATATTATTTGTTAATTTCTTTTTCTTTTATTTATGAATTTTGAATAAACAAATTATTTATCCATAGATAAAAGTCACCGGTGCGCATCAATTCTCAATTCATCCCTTTATGTCTGTGTAAGATAATATAGTTAGAGTATGAGTTTACGGCGAAATTGCAACAATTATGATTTGTACTGTTCGATTCTAGGAGGACTGACATGTCCAATCTAAGGATTGCTTGATTGTTATATGATTTATATGCCCTCTCGTATATTTATAAGGGAGATATTTTAGAAACTAATGGATCATTATGCATAATAAAAATAAGGGTTAATCTAATCAGATTTTCTCTCATGTTACAGATACATGTGTGATAGGACCCATAATTTACAAAAAAGAAAAAAAAAAGGATGTCACCGTTTTCGAAGGGTCTATTGAAGATAAACTACTCTTATGTTGCATAAGATTAGTTTTTTCCTAAAAATAATAGCCATAATTCTTAAGATGTGTTAAATAGAGATTTAAATGAGAGAGTGTGTGTGAATTTTGTGACAGTTAAAAGGATTCTAACAGTTAAATCATGAAATTCTCGTGATAATGAATAGAGGGATAAAAATCATGCCTAACAAGTCAATTAGGACCTAATAAGAATATAAGTTATGTTGTCGAATCTCTCCAGTACCACATTTGGGAGGGGTTTAAAGCTTTAATCCTGGATCCGTCCCGAATCGAATCAGTTGCAAAACAATAAACCGATCGGAATATTTTCAAAAAAAAAAAAAGAGAGAATATAAGTTATGTTGAGAGACATAAATACTAAATTTGTGGTCACGAGATATTTTGATAATTTTACAAACTAAGTCTAAACTGATTTATGACAGTTTAGTTAAATTCTCTGGTGAATTTTAAGAGATATAAATTTCTTTAATTTGATAAGATGATGTGTAGAATAATTTAAAGAATAAGGAAATTAAAAGTCAAAATTAGGTTAAAAGTAAGCTTAAATTTTACAACTAAGCTTAATTCTTGGTTAAAGTAAATTGTCTTGTTTTCTTTGCCATGTCATATGCATGATACGTCTATTTACATGTAGGTTAGTCAAAAATTCAAGTGTGTGTAGTGTAAAGTTAAAACCAATGAGAATTAAGTAGTTTTACATTTGGAAAAAGTCAAAAATGGTGGGCTTTAGATATTTTCTTGGTGCAAGTCGGTTCTCCCTTACTTTCTTGTGCATTCCACGCAAGTTTGGCTGAACACAAGTGTGTGTGTGTCTTCTCTTGGAAGTTGACTTAAAGATTGATAAATATCGTAAGTGTTTAAAGTCAAAAAATTAAGAAAACTTAACCATTAAGTCATTCTTTTTCATATAAATTTTTTCTTTCATTAGTGTATCATTTTCAAGCATCCTTCTTCTTCATTTTGTTGCACATGACCGTGAGCTCTAGTGAGGGAAAGAGCTTGAAAGAACTTGATTTCTAGTCATTATTTCAAGAAACTTTCAACATGAAAAAAATTCCTTATGAGCTTGTGAGCAAAATTCCTCAATATATATACTTGGAAGCTTTGTTTTGAGTGAGATATATTCTCCTAAAGATTTGATATAGTTGTTGTCCTCTTGGTGTTTGAATGTGTTTTTTCTTGGTTTTTATGTTGGAAAAGACTTTGATCATCTAAAGGAAGCTATACAAGGTGTTTGATGTTAATTTTGTGGGTTGAAAAATAATTTGTGAAGTATGTGTTCTTGTGTTTACCATGAATTTCTATGGATGTTTGATGATGTTGTTTGAAGTGGTTCGTAGTTGGAAATTGATTGATTAATTATTTAAAGTAAAGAGAATATCAAAGGGATTTGAAAATGCAAAGATAAATCGCCTAACCTCTATTACATGATTCAGCCTTGTATGTTCCATGTGTGAAGATTATGTGTTCATGTTATGATGAAGATGAAATTAGGATTTAAGTGATTTAATAATGATTCAAGTGATAAAAATACAATAAAATTCATAAGCCTTTGATGATGTATAAGATTCGGTCATCACCTAATAATTAGGGTTTATGTGTTATTGATATTGTATTGATGTTGTGTGTTGCTATGTTATTGGTTTTAAGTTAAATCAATGGGTAATAAGTCAAGAAAATGCATGTAAAGATGTTTTTTTAAGATTCCAATTCGGCCATGACATGTTAATTTAAGGTTTGTATGTTGTTTGATTAAATGAGTACATAAAACATTGATTCAATGATTAACTACGTGTTTGAGGTCATTGGATTGAAGTTTGAATGTGTGAAGTTCATATAAAACTTAACCTATATGCTTCAGCCATCTTGAGTTAATAGGGTATCAATGATGTTAAGTGCATTTTATGTACAATGGAGTATAAATAATGGAATGATTAAAGTAAATGTTTGAAGTTATAAAAGTAACTGGACACTTAAAAGGATATTTGATGTTGATTTTGAAGTCTAAGTTAAAGTGTATATTATGATGCATTATAAATGTTAGATGGACTAAAGAATGATGAATGAAAAGCATGGAATGTGTGTGAATATGTGTGTTAGGGTTCGACCAAAATCTATAAGGAGGGTTTTCCATGGGATTTTTCTATATACTCTCAATTTAACCACTCAATTCACACTTCCACATACATATTGTTCTGCCTGAGGCAGGTATGTAATGTTCTGCCTGAGGCAGGTATGTAATGTTCTGCCTAAGGCAGGTATGTCCGATAGAAGGTCGGGTCTTTGATGTTGGATCTAGGACTTTCTCTCTAGATACCTATGAACTAGGTATCTTGGGGACAACTGATCACTACACACTATATGATGGCTTTAGTCAGAAGGGGTATGTGTGTGCACTGTCGTGTCTTAAATGAAATAGGGTTAGAGAGATCAGTCATACCTGTGGTCTTTAGTCCTATTTATAGAGCTTACCTCTGGGCTGATGTTGGTTGGGCTTCTTGCTGCTGTGGGCCTTTCTCTGGTCCATAACACATATAATCATTCACAATTGTGTAATTTAATTTTTGCATTCTAAACCCCAAAAAGCCCAATATGGTTGAACCCTATATAGTGGTCCAAGGAGTTTTTTTTTCATGTTTATGCTTATTTCACATTATAACTTCATTAACAACACTAATTCATCATCAATTTCAAATTTCAAACTCAATAATTTCCCACCAAAAAGTGCTCAAAATATTTAAAACTTAAATCATGAAATTCAAACCAATGAAATGAGGATTTCTTACCTCAAATGACTTATACAAGGCCTGAAGAACAAAACCCAAGCTTGGCTCCACAAAAAAACACCATTTCTCTCTTGGGTGAATAGTGACCGAAAAATGGGAGAGAAAAGAACTATTCACATAAGCCCTTTCAGCCTAAACAAAGTGGTGAGATGGATTCACAATGATCTCTACTTAAACTTTCATGTATGGCACTTAGTGTTTTGGTGGCTAAATGAGTGAGAACGAGAGGAGAAAGAAAGCTTGGACCTAGCTTTCATGGAGGAAATGGCGCGGCCAGAAGAGAGAGGAAGAAGAAATCTGAAGTTAATAGTGCCAAGTTTCGAGAACATAAGCTTATAATGACATGTAATCTTTTATCGGTAGTTTTCCTCTCACTTAATTTCACTTAAGTCGACCCGACACCATCTTAAAGCTACATACATATTTTTATTATTCTGAACTCATTTACATTAATTTTTATTCCCATAGGAATAGTATTTTCAATTCATAGTATGGTTTCTGCACCGTTTTTGACGAAATGCACTATGAATTACTAACTGTGCACTGTTTACACACGAAAATGGAAAACTTATAAACTTAACACTTTTGGTCTAAACATGACTTGCTTGGCATGTATTAGACTTTCTTATTCTTATTTCATCAATTATTTAGTTCTGGACTCTATCGATTACATAAACAGCGGTATAAAATACGCGACAGAAACACTATTCATGAGATTTTCACGAAAAGTGCTAGACTATACAATTTTTCGTTCTGAACTCATATTTGGCATTAGAATTGCCAAATTAGGTCTCTAGACTCATTTTGCTCATTTCTAAGCTCTACTGGTTGATTCACAACAATGCAGAACATCCGGCAGAAGGCACTGTTCATGACCTAGTCATGATTATAGTCAAAATACTTGAAATCACGTTCTGAATCTAATTATGACATTTAAATCCTTAAATTAATCTCTAATTAAAATTTACCATATAGGATCATTATAAATGACATCATATGGAGAGGGGAAGTCGGCAACGATGAACCTTACGCGTTCTGATTTGAACGCTTCTTTCGTTCTCAGGGTCAATCTGAGATCTATGTAGCCCTTAAGTGGTGTATTTTCTCCATTAAAGGCTATCAGGGTTGTCTTACAAGGCTTGAGATCTTCTGCATCCAATTCATCTTTTTGAAAGCATTCCAAAGGATGATATCCGTACAGCTGCCTGTATCTATGAAAATCTTTTTAACCCGACAATTAACCAGATGTGAGGACCAGACCATCTACATCCCCTGGTAGCACACCTTGCATGTCCTCTTTAGTGAAATAGAGTAGAGGATGATCTGGCTTACTGGAATCCTCATTAAATTTTGGTTTATCTCTGTTTGAAAGCACTTCTCTGATATATCTTCTTCTTGCACTTAATGTATCTCCCTCGCTGCCAAGAGCTCCGCTAATCACATTGCAGTCAAACTCGGCTTCCGGGAATTCATCATTGTTGGAGTCATCCTTTTTTTTTTTATCTTCTTTCTTTTTCTTTTCAGGAGCTGGGCTCTTGCTTCTACTCCGGCCTCTGGGTTTCCTCTTATTATTTTTCCATCCTCGTGTCTTAATAACATATTGACGCAGTTTTCCATCTCTAACAATTTTTTCCACAGCATCTATGAGGTCCCAACATTGATCAGTAGTATGTCCAGGTCCATTGTGGAAAGCACAAAATCTGGACTTGTCCAAGCCTCCTCTGTCAAATATAAGTTGGGGTCTTTATGAGTTCTTCATCTCAGTCATTGCCACTTCCCTCCATATCTAAGAGCGTTACACATTTAATGGAGTGTACCTTTCATACCTTCCAACCTGGTATCTATCATCCGGTTTTCTTTCGCTGAAATCCTACTTTTTGTTGTCGGGTCGTTCTTTTTCTCTGGGAGCCGGGATTCTCCTCTTTGGGCTTATCCTCTTGTTTTCTTCACCCAGTGCATTCGCAATCTCCATTTGTTCGAGCTCCAAGCATTTCTTTGACCTGGTTCTGAGCTCTTCCAAAGTCCTTACAGGATCCTTGTAGATTGACTTTGCCAACCGAGATGTTCATCTAACCCGGCTACAATCAGATGCACATGGACATTTTCCTGCAAATCTGGTACCTTCAACACAACATCTTTAAATCAGTTCAAATACCTTTGGAGAGTCTCTCCGGGTAGCTGTCGTATTTTTTCGAGTGCGAACTCGGACTTTGGATGCTTCTTACTTATTGCAAAGTTCAACGAGAACTTTTCTCAAAATTATTCAAAAGATCCAATGAAATTAGTAGGCAGGGTTGAAAACAATGTCTGTGCAACTCCAGTTAAGATAGTAGCAAATATTCGGGATATGATAGGCTCATCAATCCCTCAGATATACATATCTGTGTTGAATGCATCTATGTAGACCTGAGGGTCCTGACTTTCATCATATTTCGGCAAGTGTGTCGAATCAAATTCCTCCGGGAATGGAGCGTTTAGTATATCGCCATTAAATGAGCTATTATTGTACTGCCCCCTACTGTATTTCCTTCTGTAAACACCGGGTTCGGCTAGTCCTCTGATAGGTTAAGTATCCTGATTAAGACGTGTTTCATCCCGATTTCTTTGCAAATTCCCTTCTATCGTAGCATTCTGTTCAGGAGGCCACGTATTCACATTCTAATTATTATCTTCAAAATTCCTCTGGTTTGGGTCCACAGCTGCTCCCGCGTTTGATCTTCTCTCGATCTCAGTTTCTCTAACCCGGATTTGAGTATCCGAGTTATAATCCACATTCTGATCATTATAATCTCGGATCTGGACTCCTTTAAGGCCCAATCTCCTCACCTCCAGTAAGCGTCACTCCAAATCTTGCATTCTCCTTGTGTTTTCTTCTTGAATTCTCCTGAAATCTTCTCGTCGTTAGAGGTTGCTGCGATTCTCCTTATCCTCCATCGGCCTTATGATTGCAGCGAATGCATTCTGGGCAAGGTGGGAGTCAAGATCTGTTGCAAGCGCAATGCGGGCAACTGCATCTGAAGGATTCAGAGTAGGAAGAGGAGGTGGGCCAACAACCCGGTTACGGGGGGCTGGCGTTGAGGCTGTATCCGAGACGTCCTCACTCACATGGACTTCATCATAGTCCACCTCATTTTTTGGTTGATTATGAGGCTGATTGACTTCTTCCATCACAAGATCCAATGGAAGATTGGGAGGCTGTGGTTGTTGGTTGTTACTTCTTGTACGAACCGCCATCGTCAGTCGTGATCGAGGGAATATCGAGTTTATCGATTCCCCACAGGAGGCACCAATGTTTTGTCTTAGAGACAGAGATGTCTAACCCAATGGACTAGTATGTTAATATCGGATCTAGGTGCTCTCTCTAAGGTATCTATGAATGAGATACTCTTGAGTCAAGCAGATCATTATGCACCTGAAGAATTGTAAACAACTTTGTCAAAGGGTGTGTGTGTGTGCACAGTGACAACACAACAGTAAGAGACAGAGCGTAACGTATCTGTAGGTTTTACCTCTTATTTATAAAGTTTACCTGTGGGTAGTGGGCTCTGGACCTTTAGCGCTTCCGATAATGGCCCATGTCCATACGTTAAGCTGTCGTATTAGGATTGATATCTTTGATGGACATATTTCCATATTTATACATAATTTGTATCTTGGATTGCCCCTTATTGGGCTTGTCAATTATTGAGCCTCATATATGGGTCCATAACATAGTGGGATCCTCCAACCTTGGAAAAGGTGTCCCAAGACATGGTGGATCAGTACTCTTGTGAGTGAATTTGTCCACAACATAGTGGGATCCTCCAACCTTGGAAAAGGTGTCCCAAGACATGGTGGATCAGTACTCTTGTGAGTGAATTTGTCCCAAGACATAGTGGATCAGTACTCTTGTGAGTGAATTGTTCCTAATCTACGGCAGCCCACAAAAATTTGAGATGCATTGTATTAGTCCCCTTCGTGTTAGAGTTCCAGAACTGGACAAAGATACATACTATTAATCATTTGCAGGGCATTGGTCAAGCATCTATATATAGATAATCTGGGAGTGGCTTATGGATCGCCCCATAACTAAAAATATTTTGTTTTCATAATTATATTGATTTTATTTTGAGGGAATAGTAAGAGCATCCCTTTATTTGATAAATCAAATGAATTCTTCGGCTTTGTTTACTAGTTGGTATTGGTCGAACAAACAGGGATCATATTGGCTTCCTAGCCAATAACTAATATGAGGAGGGGATTTTTTTATTTTTTTATTTTTATTTTTGAATACCAACCATAATTACCTCTTGGAAGCGAGTAGGTTCCCCCAAGTATTTCTACAAGTTTCGGCTCTTTGAGTCGAGTATGTGACTAATCCGAGTGTGGAACGGGTTAAAAATTAATGTTTTATGCACCTCTCCAATATGGTATTGATGGGGACCAAACCGAGATTTTTCTTCACCCACTCTGTTTCCTTACATCAACTGAGCTATCATCATTAGATGATGAGAGATTTTTTGATTCCATTGTAAGATTAAGAAATTTTACTCCGTATCTCAGTTGTTGAATTTCATCCATCTAATTACTGTAATTAATATAACTTAATAAAACATAACCATTAGAAAGATTAAAATCAACGACTAAAATAGGAAACAAGACTTCTTAATCTTATATTGAACTCAAAAGATTTCTCATATATATATATATATATATATATATATATATATATGAGATAGGATCCTTTGACACCAGTATCAAATTTAAAATTTGACACCTCATCTAAGAGCTATTAGATCAAAAAAGATCAACGACTTTGATTTGTAAACATGTGACACCATTGATCTTTTTTGATCTAATGGCTCTCAGACGAGGTGTCAAATTTCAAATTTCAAATTTCAAATTTGACACTGGTATCAAAGCCTCATATATGATAAGTGAAACAATGGCGAACCATACAAGACTTATACCCAGGAAGGCCGGCAATGCATACCATTTTCAATTATAGAATTATATTTATAATTTTTTTATTTACAAGCTACACTATCTACTCTCAGAAGTATACTAAATTATATTATGTACTTTCTGGAGTACATAGTGTAATTTACAAAAATTTATAAACAAATCATTTTCCTATATATATATATATAATTGAAAATGGTATGCATTGCCGGCCTTCCTGGGTATAAGTCTTGTATGGTTAGCCATTGTTTCACTTATCAGTTAAAGGCGCACGGTTGATAATACATTGCCCTTTTAAGTTTGTCATATATCTTCCATGACGTGGATAACCCAGAGAATCGCCAAGAGGCAATTTAGGTGAAAATGTATATTTGAAAAAAGTGAAATGAAACATTTGATATTCTTTATTAAGTGTCTTTGTAGTGAAGTGTTGAAAGAGGCGCCTAATACAAGTGTAGTCTTCCTAGAAAAGAAAATTTTGCTTAACTCACATGAACCCTAGTTGGTGAACTCTTCATACACCATCTTCTCTATGTTTGGATCCTCTTTTTTTTTTTAAGTTATAAATTACTTTAAAACTAAAACTAAAAACAAAAAACAAAAAAAAAATCATAAGAATTATTTGATGATTACATAAAAAATTTATCTTAAAAGTTACTTAAAAATACATATTTCAAGAAAAGTCTCTCCTTCTCTCTCAATTTCTATAACTCTTCATTTCAAAAAAAAAACACACAATTAAAGAAAAGCTGATAAAAGTTTAAAAAAAAACTCCTTGGCCTAGCTTTTTCTTATAAGAAGATAAACTAAAAATAAGATGATTCAAAACAGAAGATGAAGAGAGTAGCAACTACACACAGGACATCCAATTATCCTCCATGAAAGGATTAAATGGGCAACAAGAGCAGATATAGACCACGCAAATTACCTATTTTTACTAGGAAAAATTGAATAAGATAAAACTAACAAAATATCCGTGGAGGATGAGATCAAATATATAACTGAATAAAGTCATTATATTATTAGTCCACTAATCATTATAATAAAGAGAAAACAACACTATTCTCTAGACTAATGGAACTCCACCTATTATAATAAAAGGTAGTGTTCAAGCTTTAATACCTAACGCGGACTGGATAACAGTGGATCCATGAGCTCATAAAACTATCAAACCAACATGAATGGAACGTTACAAACATAGAAGTTGCATAAGAGCTCTGGATTAAGTAATAAATACGAGCAGCGTAACTTACATAATGTAAATTATACGTACACCATATTTACCACAATTACAGCAACTTTTATTTGCTTCCAAAATTGGTTGACCACAATAAATTGAATCAAACCTATATATCCTATATTATGTTCACAATTCCTTTTTTCTAGATAAATAATTGTCACAAATTTTTAGGACCATGTACTTCGATAAAACGTGATTATTCAGCTGCCTTATTGCCCTTGTACGAGTTTATCAATTGCATCTGTACATCATGAGAAACTGGTGAATGTTCCTTGTATTCCATTGTGAATTCACCTTTTCCCTGCGTGTCATCCAAGAATCAACAGAAATTAAAAACCAAATAAAAGTTAACAACAAAACATGAATTATTCTTGAGCAACGTGATATTCACCTGTGTCATTGAACGAAGAGCTGTAGAGTACCCAAACATGTTGTTAAGTGGGACCTGAAATAGTTAATAACAGCAACCTATTTAGCAAGAACAAATGGACAAACTACTCAATGATAAAAGTCCACAAATTACATTTACCTTCCAAATAAACATGAGAGATAATTTCCAAATAAACATGCAAGATAAACCGAAATGAAACCAGCAAATAGTATACACCAGTGTTTTAAAAACTGGCTCGGACCGGGTCTCGGTGACCAGATAGGTTCCCTGGTCCGAGCATTCATTTGGATCGGTTTTGCAGTCAACTCAGTTTGGACCGGTTGACCCGGCGACTCGGGTTACACCAGTTGACCTTTTTTTTTTGTAGAACTTTTTTTTTGGTTGCTATGAACTGTTGAATTAAATCATGTTCATATTTTGTGGTAAATATGATTAAAAAGTAAGGTGAAAATAAGAAGGTATTTTAGATTAGTGCAGTTTGTTTATGTAATTTAGTTGTATCTTATAATGATCTAAAGAAGTTAAGTGAGAATAAACACTGATGGTCTCATCTCAACGGTAGAAACTTTCTCCTTAGTATATATTTCATGCCTAATATTTGTTATCATGATTTAGTTTATCTGTGTTATGTCAAGGCATAAAAGGTGCATTTAGATTACATTCCAATTTAATCCAATGTTAGGATATGGTCTAGAGCTAGAAACCTAGATGTATATAATATTTGCTATCATTGAGAACCAATTTATTTTTTGAAGCTCATTGGTAGTTTTCTTATGTGAATTTTGAATATAAGTAATATGTTTATATTTTTTAATATGTGAAGAGTAAATCCGGTTGAACCAATGACCCAGTACCTTGACCGAGTCGATGACCGGTCCGAGTTTTAAAACACTGGTATACACGAACCTTCCAAAATAACAATATTCCACCAACATTAAGTTTCACAAACATATTATAAACTCCATTAACCCGTCACTGCACTTAAACCTTGATGCATGCCCTCAACTGTAGAGTTTAATAAGCTAGCAACAAATGATTTGTAGAAGTTTGCAATAGCACATCCAAAACCAAAATGCAATGGGTGCGGAGGCTTCATGCCAGAAACTACTACAAGTCTGTTGACTAGTTGGCATGTTTAGCTTCTGCACCGAGGGTCATCCAGCATCACATTAAAAACTCAAAAGTCATATTTTCCTAAGGTAGCTGCTTCAGAGTCCTAATGTGATTCTGGATTCCCCCAATGCAAATCCAGACATGCTATCACGCCCATTTACAGTAACAACATACTTGGACAACTTTTAAGCAATACATTAATTAGCCTGAGCCGAATGGCTAATATATAAATGAAGAAAAAAAAAACAAATGTAGATGTACATTTACGTTTTAAACAATCATCAAATCATAATTTTATACAGTTCCACAGATCAACCATGGAACTAACTACAAGAGTCGTTAAATCACAATAGATAGGTTAGGAACTTACATGAGCAGTAATGACGGAATCATCTCCTTCCTGATCATTGCCAACAATCACACCTTTTCTCCTTTTCACGAGTTAGAGAAGTATGTGAGAAAATTTCTGAAAAATTACTACAATATCCAGTGAAAAGAAGAGAAGTAAAGAACCCTCACTTGTTGATGTCACCAGCAACAGCTCCCTGAAATTCTGTTGGTACTTTCAGCTCAACAAGCATAACGGGTTCTAATATAACTGGTCTGGAAGCTGCATAGCACTGTTACAAAAGATAGCACCATAAATTGTTAAGAAATGGTTCCATAATTATTATGTGAAAGAATCAATAGATGATTATCAGGAGAATATGCACAATTATATTTATAAAATAAGGGCGACAGAAATTAAAAGGACCTGTCTAAAAGCATAGATAGAAGCCAGCTTAAATGCAAGTTCACTGGAATCAACAGCATGGGCAGCACCATCTGTCAAAACAACTCGGAGATTTTCAACTGGATGTCCAATTAAGGCACCCCTGTACGAAGAACAAAATTGGATTTGCCATACCATACCAAATAAAAGTTTAATCATATTGGTATGCCCGAATTATTTAAACAAACAAACAAACGAAAAAAAAAAAATCTAGATTATTACATTGATATGGTACAACACACTACATAATAAATCACAAAAACAAACTTTCATGTTAGAATGTAGAAAGCATAATTAAGCAGCGAAGAAAATTTCACTCACGAGTTGGCAGCTTCTTTGAAACCCTTCTCAATTGCTGGGATAAAACTTGATGGAATAGCTTGACCAACAAGAATGTTTTCAAATTCAAACTTAGTCGGTGACCCTGCAGGAAGTGGTTCAATATACCTGCGAACAAATTGAATACATTATACATCACCAAGACTTAACAGAGTGAGAAATAAATTGACATATATTGTGTTTTAGGACGGAGTGGTGAAAAGCTATTAGGGCATTATAGAAGGGTATATCCATTTTTTCCTATGTTCGAGACAGTCTTCTTTTCCTATATTTATTTATTTATCTGTATTCTCTAATTTACTTTTTCCCTCTTAAGTATTTTTTATTTTTTATTTTTTTCTCAATCTTTTCTTACTTTTTATTTGATTCATTGACCGCTAACTTTAACTAATTTAGGATAAAAGTAATGTTGATGTCAAGAAATACAAGGGGGATAAGGGAAGAAATGGAACATCACAACCAGCCTGTTACAGCTCTGGATTCTTGAAAGGTGAACATACATAATGGGGTAGGGGTGATAGAGCAAGATTGAGGATAGGTTAGGAAAGAATGATATTTATTAAGGAAAGAACAGAAGAGTTTCTCTCTTACAAGGGAATTCTCCCTTGCACAGTCTCAGTCAAACAATGAATTAACCAAAAGCTACCTTCTATGCTTAGTGCCTGGAGGTCTTTTTTTAGCTTATGTTCTCCTTAAAAGCATAAGCTAGCGAAACAAGTTTTTACAAAAGCTCTTATAATAAAAAGAGCCTTTATTTAATATACAGCTCCTTGAGGAGCTTTCTTTAAGAGTTGTATCAGCTTTTTTTGAAATATACAGCTTTTAAGTAACTTTTAAGCTTAAAAAATTTATATAATCATTAAACAACTTTTAGCTTTATTTTTAAAGCTCTCTTTTTTTAACTTTATCTTAAAAGTAGCTTATAGCTTAAAAAAAAGAGGTGTCACAAAAAAGGCTCTTAGAATATCTCTTTTATACATCAGGCTAAACCTCTCCCCTAAAGGCCTAACCATATAACCACCTAGTTACAAGCCTAACTCCCAGATAGAGCAGTTACAACTAATCTGTACCCCTAATTAATCCCCCTAACTACTCTAGGTTTCCTTGGGGAATATACTTGCCCAGTGATCCCCTATTCCTAATAGAGGTCGTAACATAGCCTCGACAAAAATGAATGGTAAAATCATTTACATGACATGATAACATATACAAATACAATCAATGCATGCATATACGACAATTCTATTGTATCGCTTTGTCGAGAGAATCAATGGAAATTGGGAGAGAATCAATACATCTCGAATGTGTTCAATTGTATCGCTTTTCTTATTGCTTTGGTAGCTGATAGAGGATTATAGATTGTGTTAGAATATTAGATATGATATGATTAGATATGATTGGATTCCGTCTGATCCGTAAGTATTCTGACTGTATTCTGACTGTATTAGGATTAGGCTTGGGCCTTTCACTTAAGCCCATTAGGGTCTCTATATATTGTAACTCTCTGACACAGATCAATATACAACATATTATTTTGTATTCAAGTTGGTATCAGAGCTCTTTTGTTCTGGGAACTCTCGCTTCCGCTTAGAAACCTTGTTTTTTGCTTTAAAACCTAAGCCCACTGCTTAGGAGTCCTCTTTCTTGCCGTGCGTCCTTCCGGCAAGCCTTCTAGGGCTGTAAACAGCCTCTTAGTGATTTTTCCAAACGCGTCAGCACCTCCGACGGCAACCGGAACCACCGCCCGCCGACAGAATCTGCTGTTCAGGCGTTTGGCTTAATCCGCAGTAAAGTTGACCATTCTGTGTTTTATAGGATTACATCTCCTGATAAGTGTATCTATTTGTTAGTCTATGTTGACGACATCATTCTCACCGGAAGTGATCAAGACGGAATTCGTCAGTTAAAACAGCATTTGTTTAGTACATTTCAAACAAAAGACCTTGGGAAGCTGCGTTACTTCTTGGGAATTGAGGTGGCGCAATCAGGACAGGGCATTTCTATCTGTCAAAGAAAATATGCCTTGGATATCCTAGAAGAAACTGGTATGTTGGGGAGTAAACCAGTTGATACACCTATGGATCCTAATGTCAAGTTATTGCCCGGACAGGGGGAGCCGTTATCTGATCCTGGACGTTATCAGAGGCTAATTGGGAAGCTCAACTATCTTACTGTGACTAGGCCAGATATTTCTTTCGCTGTTAGTACGGCTAGTCAGTTTCTTGATTCCCCTTGTGATTCACATTGGGATGCTGCTGTGAGGATCCTCCGATACATCAAAGGAGCACCAGGAAAAGGTTTGTTGTATTCAAATCAGGGAAATACAGAAATTTGTGGTTATTCAGATGCTGATTGGGCAGGATCACCCTCGGACAGGCGCTCTACTTCTGGCTATTGTGTCTTCTTTGGAGGAAACTTAATTTCGTGGAAGAGCAAGAAACAACCTGTTGTTGCTCGATCTAGTGCAGAAGCTGAGTATCGTGCAATGGCAAATGCTACCTGTGAGTTAGTCTGGTTAAAGCAGTTGATCCAGGAGCTTCATCTTTGTGAACAGAAACAACCCATGACACTCATCTGTGATAATCAAGCTGCGCTACATATATCCTCTAATCCTGTCTTTCATGAGAGGACCAAACATATAGAGATTGATTGTCACTTCATTCGAGAAAAGATTCAGTCAGGAGAAATCAAGACTGCTTTCGTCAACTCCTCTGATCAACTAGCGGATGTTTTCACTAAAGCTCTTAGAGGTCCTCGGGTTGAATACATTTGTAACAAGCTTGGTGCTCATAATATATACGCACCAGCTTGAGGGGGAGTGTTAGAATATTAGATATGATATGATTAGATATGATTAGATATGATTGGATTCCGTCTTATCCGTAAATATTCTGACTGTATTCTGACTGTATTAGGATTAGGTTTGGGCCTTTCACTTAAGCCCATTAGGGTCTCTATATATTGTAACTCTCTGACACAGATCAATATACAACATATTATTTTGTATTCAAGTTGGTATCAGAGCTCTTTTGTTCTGGGAACTCTCGCTTCCGCTTAGAAACCTTGTTTTTTGCTTTAAAACCTAAGCCCACTGCTTAGGAGTCCTCTTTCTTGTCGTGCGTCCTTCCGGCAAGCCTTCTAGGGCTGTAAAAAGCCTCTGAGTGATTTTTCCAAACGCGTCAGCACCTCCGACAGCCACCGAAACCACCGTCCGCCGTTAGAATCTGCTGTTCAGGCGTTTGGCTTAATCCGCAGTAAAGTTGACCATTCTGTGTTTTATAGGATTACATCTCCTGATAAGTGTATCTATTTGTTAGTCTATGTTGACGACATCATTCTCACCGGAAGTGATCAAGACGGAATTCGTCAGTTAAAACAGCATTTGTTTAGTACATTTCAAACAAAGGACCTTGGGAAGCTGCGTTACTTCTTGGGAATTGAGGTGGCGCAATCCAGACAGGGCATTTCTATCTGTCAAAGAAAATATGCCTTGGATATCCTAGAAGAAACTGGTATGTTGGGGAGTAAAGCAGTTGATACACCTATGGATCCTAATGTCAAGTTATTGCCCGGACAGGGGGAGCCGTTATCTGATCCTGGACGTTATCGGAGGCTAATTGGGAAGCTCAACTATCTTACTGTGACTAGGCCAGATATTTCTTTCGCTGTTAGTACGGCTAGTCAGTTTCTTGATTCCCCTTGTGATTCACATTGGGATGCTGCTGTGAGGATCCTCCGATACATCAAAGGAGCACCAGGAAAAGGTTTGTTGTATTCAGATCAGGGAAATACAGAAATTTGTGGTTATTCAGATGCTGATTGGGCAGGATCACCCTCGGACAGGCGCTCTACTTCTGGCTATTGTGTCTTCTTTGGAGGAAACTTAATTTCGTGGAAGAGCAATAAACAACCTGTTGTTGCTCGATCTAGTGCAGAAGCTGAGTATCGTGCAATGGCAAATGCTACCTGTGAGTTAGTCTGGTTAAAGCAGTTGATTCAGGAGCTTCATCTTTGTGAACAGAAACAACCTATGACACTCATCTGTGATAATCAAGCTGCGCTACATATATCCTCTAATCCTGTCTTTCATGAGAGGACCAAACATATAGAGATTGATTGTCACTTCATTCGAGAAAAGATTCAGTCAGGAGAAATCAAGACTGTTTTCGTCAACTCCTCTGATCAACTAGCGGATGTTTTCACTAAAGCTCTTAGAGGTCCTCGGGTTGAATACATTTGTAACAAGCTTGGTGCTCATAATATATACGCACCAGCTTGAGGGGAAGTGTTAGAATATCAGATATGATATGATTAAATATGGTTGGATTCCGTCTTATCCGTAAATATTCTGACTGTATTCTGACTGTATTAGGATTAGGTTTGGGCCTTTCACTTAAGCCCATTAGGGTCTCTATATATTGTAACTCTCTGACACAGATCAATATACAACATATTATTTTGTATTCAAGTGATTGTATAAAAGAAGGGGGAAAGGCCCAACAGAGCAACAAGAGACTGGCCCAGAATTAGAAGATCTAATTCAAGATGAAGAAGGCTCACGAGCGGACCCAAAAGTTGAGGTGGAGAAGGATGACGTGGAAAAGGAGCATCAAGATAAAGGTGATTACATTGCGCGTGTGGAGGAAGCAAAATAAGTTAGTTAGAAAGTGTGGGGAGTGAGAGGTGCTAATGGTGTAAGGGATTTATAAGGGAAGGCAGCGTTCAAAGGGAGGTAGGAAAATAGTAAATTAGCTGGGGGAATGTAGGGGATCCATTGTGGACCTCTTGGGAGTTCTTTTTTTATTCTCTTGTCAGTGTCAAATACAAAGTGTCTCTTGCTGTTGTTAATTTCCGTCATTGTAAGGAGCAGTGCTCTGTTATTTTATCAATACATATAAGAGGATTTCTTTAATTTACCGTATTGTATCCATTTCGATTTATCTGTTCTATCATTCTTCAAGCACTCCCAAGATAGGAAGCTAAATGTGCTCCTTATATATGTTGAAGATATTATTATAACAGGTGATGATATTGCGGAGAAACATTTTCTACAAGCACGACTAGCCTCTGAATTTGAAATTAAAGATCTTGAGAGATTGAAATATTTT